CACTTTAACCAGTACGACTGATATCTTGGACAAAGAGACTTTGAGTGGAAGAACAGACTAAAATTTGATTAAAATAATGTTCATTTGGGTTTCAAAGATTAACACATTTTTTATTATTTTTTTGGCTTCGTAACGACATTAGGGTGAGTAATTTAGGAGTTTTAATTTTGGCATGAACTAACCTCTTAAAAAGGAGATGAACTGAGAAATTTGCTTGATCTTTTGAAACATAAGAGGTCAGCGCAGTTTCAGAACTCAAAATGTCTAAAAACAGCTTACATTGATGACAAACAGCCAAAACATCAAGTTGTTGAATTTTCGGATGATGCTGTGCCAGCTATACTGGAGCGGATAGTCACATCACACCACACAATGATTTTATTACATGTCCATCTATAAAGGATGAAGTATGAACGATGTCAAAATATTTTATTACTTCTAAAACATTTCATTTCCTCTAAACAGGGGCGGACTGGCCATCTGGCAATTTTGGCAAATGCTAGAAGGGCTGGACCATTTTTTAAATGTGGGCCGGCATGCTATTTTCTATATATATATTTTTATAAGTATTGCTTTTACATGCAGGCAGCTTTTGTCTCTTGCAAGATGTGGAATATAATGATGATGATGATGATATTAGTAATAATAATAATAAATGTTTTGCATTGGCCCAATCGGCAATGGCCGGCTGGTTTTGAGATGGGCCGACCCAATCAGAGGTTACGCGGCCATAATCAAAATCTGGCAAGAATGTCAAAAAAACAGTGAGTGCAACACAAGCTACTTGTCAGAGATGGACCGTAAAAAAGGAAAGGCGGTGCCGAAAAGCTCAAAGAAAGCAAATGATGCCAAATGCATAAAATTAACTGAAATAGTCTTGAAAGGGGGCAGAGCAATGGGTAGCGCTGTCTCCTCACAGCAAGAAGGTCAATGGTTCGAGCCTCGGCTGGGTCAGTTGGTGTTTCTGTGTGGAGTTTGCATGTTCGCGTGATTTTCCTCCCAGTTTCCCTCACAAGTCCAATCACAAAATAAATATTTATTACATATGGTACTGTTTATATTATTTCCCCATCTGTACACCAATAAAAGTAGTTAATGTGCATGTCCATGGATGGGGCTGTGTCGGTGTGGTAATGTGGGCTGGTTTGGCTATATTGCCAGGGGTGATTTTTAGTCCCAGTCCACCCTTGCTTCTAAATAAGCTTTCTAATGTACAAATCATCTTAACATCATGAGTAGACCTCATAGAACAGTACAAAACAACTGAAAAAAAAGTCAGTTCAAGAGCCCTTTAAAGAGCTGGGTGTCATTTGTTTAGAAATCTAGAAGCCTGCAGTTGTGTTTCTAAAGTATGCATCATTTGAGGAGTGAAGCAAAGCGGTAGTGACACCATGACATATTCAGCAAGATAAACATGTCAGAAGAACCTGCACAGGACCACATTAGAGCACACAAGTGGACATGTCGCAGGCTCAAAATCTCATAGCGGTGTCTGCCAGACAAGATGTTCGCGGCTACATGGACTACCACACACCAGAGATACTTTTAATTTCCACGAATTGCTGCTATTTGTTCGTTTTGTTTTATTTACTACAGGACACATGCCTTTTTCTGAGTCCTTTATCGTACATCTAACGGCAGGACCAAAGATCTTTTTAGGGTTCAGCAGAGTTCATCATGCAGCCTCAACAAAGTCACTATAAGATATGCTTCCATCTAGAGGACAAACCTGGAAGTTTGACTGAAACTGTAATACTTAGACACCCTTTTGAAAGAAAGAAACAGGCCTGTCAGTATATGTTTAATAACCTTTTTAATGTTGTCCAGTTCAGATACACAACATACAGTGTGTAGTAGCCTGTATAGGAAACAGAAATATGAATTTCAATCTTTCGACCCATTGCGGTCATACAGTCCCCACATCTCAAGCCTTTTTTTAACGTTGCTGAAATTCAATAAAATGAAACTCAACAGGTGCAAGTCTTTTTTTGGCGACCAAGCATTAATACTCAACAGTTGTGTTTCTCAGTATTTTTTTCTTAATTTTTTTTGTTTATTCCTCTATAATACATAGGCAACCCAGACAAAAAGTATCACCACGTATATCTGGTGAGAGTGTGCTTTATATGTCTGTCAGTTGCCGGTAGATTCATCATCTCTCTCTCCCCTTTATTTTGTAGAAAAATATGAACTGTTTAAATTCTCTACTTTGAAATATATGCAGCTCAAATTCACAAACAAAAATCCCACCCCCAGTCCGACAAATCTCCAATGGTTTGGGTAACATTAAATTTCTAAGAAGTCACAACCAGGTAAGAGAAAACAAACACCCCACAGTGTCATTTAGTCCACTGAAGCGTGATGAAGAACACCCAGGAGAATGACTCAAACAGCAGGCCTCTCCAAAAAAAACTAAAACCAAAAACCCAAACGGGGCTGATTTTCCATCCTACGAGCTCGTACAAAGAATAAAATAAGCATCTTCTTCATATAGACTTTCTCATTTAGCTCTCTCCAACAAAATATTCTGATCGGTCCCACCCTCCTTTTCCAAACGAAACAGAATCAGATGCAGCCAGCGACTCTTTTGTCCGCCGCATTGTTGGGTCTTGCAGCAAATTTGAATTCCAAATGCAATTATTCTCACCAAGTGCGCTCATTCTTGACTCAAAGTATCCTGTAACGTGGATTTGCTTCCCTCAACATTCATTACGTTTTAATGTCTTTCGTTAAAAAGAAAGCTTTATATTTAAATCTTTAAATGAAAAAAAATCGATAAGGGTCTTCAGAATCGCGGGTGGAGGGATGGGATTGGCTGAATGAGCTTGCACCTGCTTTTTTTGTTTGTTTTTTTTTTTTTATTTTTTTTTACAGTGGATACGTTTGGCTGTGAGCCCAACAATAAACAAAATATTTACAAAGACCATGTCATCTCTTACACTTATAAAAATGTACAGTTTGCATCTTGTATATATTTTTTTTCGCTCATGGCATGACAGAAAGTGGCCTTGTGTGTTTTTCATCCACCCACCAAACAAGAAACTCCAAAAACAAGACAACGAAAGAACGCAAAATGGATGGCAATGAGATTGGCTTGCTTGCGTTATGTATTGTGAATGTATATTTAAGTGTCGTGAGGAATAAAGCCTCGTCCACAGTAGCGCAATATGTTTCGTTTTCAACCACCACCAAGTCAATATTCAGAATGCATTTGTAGGCCACATCTGTCCTGTTCCTCACACACACACACTTACACACACTTACACACACACACACACTTACACACACACACACACACACACACACACACACACACACACACACACACACACACACACACACACACACACACATACACACACACACTTACACACAGATGAATGCAAACCACCCGATTCCTCCCACCAGATCGTTCTCGGCACCCTGAAAGAGAGATTTTGGAAAAGAAAAACACATTGAGAGGTGAGAAGTTGAACCTGGAGGTCTTACAGGGACTTGTGACAGGGCATATAACAAGATGTCCGCCTGATGACAAGTGAGCTCAAACTGAGATAATCACTCAAAGGTCAGTGTCAGTGAAGGGGAAGAATGTTCTGGACACGTCATGAGCTCTCTTGGGCTCTGGATAAAAGAGAGAGACGGGGAGACTCCAGCTGTGCGGGAACGGACGCAGGTGTTGATCCCGTCGCTCTGGATGTCCAACTCAGCAGAGTTCGAGTCTTTACAGAGAAACTGAGAGAGAGACACAGTGAACGTTCCTTAACTCAGTGTGGCATAATGTTACTACAGAGGACTATACGATCGGAGATTAAAAAAAAAAAAAAAAGGAGGGGATCGTGGATCTGATCAGTCCTTCTCCGGGAGATGAGCTCTGTCGTACCACTTCCGTAATTATAAATGAAAAAAAAAAAAGAAGGAAAATATTTATCCTTTTATTATCGTCAAGAATCAGTTTCATTTCCGGATATGAGCATGTATCTACAGAGGGAAAAGAATCTCCAAATGAAGTGCACAAAGTAGAGCTGATGTAAAAAAAACAACAACAACAAAAAAAAAGAGAGACAGAGAGAAAGAGAGAGAGGAAGAGAGACTGTTGCAGAAAAAGACAACAACAATTAAAAGACAAAGAAAGAAGAGTCTTGAATCTCAGATGTCCTTTTTCCTCTTAAAAAATAAATCATGCAAATTTCCCAAAGCGCAATCAGGATATAAATTGAATTATTATATATCTTTACTTTTTATATAGATATTTGTTGTGTTGTTCATTTCTCCCCGTAGGCAAATAACAGTGACAGTGCAAAACAAAAAGCAAAAGTGAACAGAAAAAACAAAAGAGAAACAAAAGTAAAGAAAACTAAGTTGGCACTTTTTTTTCTTCTAATTTCTGCAAATTCCTTGAATAAATCCAGTTCAGGCGATTCTCTCCACGTCCGTCCGCGAGACTGCGTCTGATTGGACGATGATCACAGTACTTGGCACAAGAATGCTGGTAAAAATTAGATAGTAGAATCTTTTTTCATTCATAGCCTTATAAGGTTATCAATAATACATATCTTACATGTATGTTCTCTTGATTTATAAAACAGTCCGAAGTAGGAAAAACTGTTCTTTTTGGGGACTAGAAACAGCTACAGAAGAGCAGAAGACTGCTGGGAAGAAGAAAAGAAAAAAGAAAGAAAGAGAAAGAAAGACGGTAATGTATGCGAGTAAAAAAGAAACAAAATCAAACTTTAGGGAGGGGATAGCTGCTGCACTCAGAGGGGAAAATGGCCAACGTTTGCTTTTCCACCCAAAACTTTCTCCACTGCTCATACCAAGAACGAGAAGAGCAGGAAGAGTAAAACAAGAAAGAAGGAGAGAGAAAGAAAGAGAGTGTGTTGGGAATGGACTTAAAAAGAATGTGAGCGGTGAGTTGGACAGTATCCATGTAGAGCACCACTCTTAGTACTTGAGGTTTGTGTTCCTATGTTTTTGGGGGACCTGGTCCCCTCAAGGGGTTACTATACTCGCGTGGTGGAGTGCTGATGGGGCAGGGCGTTGTTGCTGTGTCCCGCACTTGGTGCCGGAGCAGGGGGGTACGTGTTGAAGGCATGGAGGGGCTGCATGCCAGTGATGGTGCTGGGGATCATGGAAAGTGTGTTAGCCGTCATGAGAGGCACATCCTCAGGTGCCCGCCGTAGAGCCAAAGTGTAATCCGGCGGGCACACAGGTGGTCTCAGGGGCTCCAGGTCGCCGTGGAGACCACGTGTTGGAAGGGGTGTGCCATGGTCAAGCTCTACCCTCTGCTGCTTCATCTGCAAGGACATTAGCTCCTCCTCCTGACTCAGTGCAAGGTCATTATGGGGTGGACCTCCCACTATCCCAACACCTGGCACTGCCCCACGCTGGGGAGAGAGGCGGCGATGCCGGCGTTGCAGAAGCTCATGCCGTTTGTCGCGTTTGTAGTACAATGCGGCAAATGCCAGCACGTTGAGGAAGAGCAACGATGCACCCACTGCCACCGTCACACTCAGCTCAGTTGAGTAGTCCCGTGTATTGCTTGGAAAGGGGAAGCGTTCAGGAGGGTGCTCAGAACCTTCAAGGTCCGGGTCAGGCGGGTAGGTTGAGACCGTGGGGTGGCGAGTAGAGCGCGTACCGGGGCTCTGGGCTGTGCCCTTCCAACCAGGCCGGTGCGGGGCTCCTGGTGGCAGTTGCGTGGTGTAGGTGGGGATCTCATCATGGATGGTATGGAGGTGAGGAACCAACTCAAGCCAGAAGGCAACTTTGTTGGCACGGTAATTGTCCCGGATTCGAGGCTTCAACCCAATGTGGAGGTACTGCTTATCTTTAGAGCTGAACTTGGTCCAGATAACTTCTTCAAAGCGATTGGGCTTAGTATGGATGAACTTGGTATCTTGCGGTACTGGAATGTTCGGATCACTGGAAAAATAAAATAAACAAAGTGAGAAGGAAATAAAAGCACAAGAGAAAAAGATTCACATTTGTACATTTGAAGAGTTCAGCTGCACATACCTTTAAGTGCCATATACTAAGCATTTTTCACAGGCTCATGTGTATCGGTTCAGTAATTTCACATTTCTGGCAAAGAATAGGTTCTTGTCGTTGATTTTAAAGTGAAATAACTGAACATAAACATAGGAGTCTGAAAAATGCTAATTTTAGAATCAAATTTCTGAAGGCACTTTCTGGAGGCATTTGCATTTGAACATTAATTCTGGTGTAATCAAGTAAGACGTTTTTGGACAGTTTAAATTCTCACCCTGTCTTAGCAAAGTTTGTCCAGTACGTCATCACCACAGCACTGAGCATGATATCGTTCTTTGAGAAGTTGCAGGGAAACAGTTCTGTGGCACCCACCATGGGAACACCAAACACATAGGGGATCTCGTCACCATGTGCTGCATCTGCCCACTCGGGTCGTGCTTCCGTCTGGCAGTGGTGGTGGAATGTATAAAAATAAACGGGGGACTGGAACTCAGCATGGAGTTTAGCTGTGGCCACTGCTGGCGCCACCCATTGATGGTCCGTGAAAAGTGCAAGTAGAGTTTTACGCCGCATATCACCGTTGTCACGATCAGCCCAATCAGTATACATGAACTTTATAGTCTCCCGCAATATGTCTTTACCTAATAAAGGACAGAAAAAGACAAAAGGAGAAAGATAAATGTTGGATGTTGAAAGACAGAGTAGGTTGTCATACAAAGGAGGGCACCTTGACCGATTAAAGAAGACAGTGAGACAGAAGCACCCAAGGTGAGGGGTAAAATTAGACTGAGGAACAGTTGCTGAGAGAATGTGCAGATGTGTATATCAGTGTTGCCAACAGTAATCCTTATGATTGTTTACATTAGCCTCATTTTGAATTCAATTGCACATCCAAACAAGTAAATGAACAGCATTGCTCATTGGTGGCTGTAAATTCATTGTTGGCAATGGCAAATCAGACTCCTAATACTTGATAATATATTGTATATGTGTGTAAGCATGCATCATTGAAGCTTACCCTCTGGGTATCCATATAGGTTGTCTACAAAGTTGGAAATGGTGTAGTCAAAGGAAGCAGCTGAAATTCCTTCCTCGCCCTCATTGTCATCCACAAATTTCAGCCCTTCACCTTGGTTCACCCCCAACAGGATGTCGTAGTTCAGGAACTCCCCCTGAGGACATCACAGAAATGTCACCCACAGTACACACTTTCGCTAAGGAACTGTCATGGTTAGACTCTGGCAGAACTCTAATCTCATGGACCCCGCAGTGTTCAACATCACACCTGCTGCATGAGGATCTCGGGGTCATCAGGGACCACATCTCCATCCACCACTGGTCCAAACGCAATGTGGTATCGGGCAGGTTGGACATCCTGATCCACCAGCTCCCTGTAGCTTTTCCTTCGCAGACAGTCAACCAGATCTGCAGTGTCACTGTAACTGCAGCCCACCTTCTTGGCCAGGATCTTGGTGTACATCAGGGGCCGGTAGTTCACTGACCAACTGGATATGGCAGAGCCGCTCTGCGCAATGGCCCTCTGGAACAAACCTAAAACCGGGATCAGTTACAAGACAATGAGTAAGAGATGTCAGGGAGCTGGCTGTAATGTGAGTGAGTCAATGTGGAGAGAGAGTGTGTGACACATGACCATGAGCAAAATAAAGACACCGGATCTCTTTTTTTTTTACCAAAAGGCTAGGTCAGTGAAATTTTAAATGTTTTTACATTGACTTTAAATAGTCAGTTTCAGTCAAGCGAAACCTAAATGCCTCCAACTGAAAAAAAAAAAAAATGTGCAAAAACTTGGCTCCCACTTTAGGATCTAATTGTTTTACCTTTGGAAATAGGTTTCAGATTCACACTGTAAACACAGATTCCATCTGTTCGTGACATTATCCTGATTAAAATCAAAATCTCAATGTTGTTCAGGAAAAACGTGATAGGTTTCTTTTGTCCATATCGCACAGCCCTACTTCAGACTAGAATACATCATGAAAAATATTCTGCTGACTGAGCCATGATACTCTTCAAGCCAAATCAAAGGACACACTGCTGTGATATAGTTTCCGACAAAATTAGACAAAGACAATGTTTGTTTTGGAGTTTGCATTACTTCAGGGAATGTCAATTTTATCTGCATTTTGTCTCTCAGCCTGAAGATGTCGCCATCTTTTGAGTTGCTTCACAAAACAGAAAAACAGTCAGATGATCATGGCAGAAGGTAACTGTAGCCAGCACAGGAAAAATTGAATTGTGGAGGTATTTCATGTTCAACGGCAATGATGTTCAAGTCACCATAACCCATATCATTTGTAAGTCGTGCCTGCAAGGACTAAAACATCGCCACACCTACACACTACACATGAAAACAAATGGATTAGCAATGGTCACTTTGCCGCATCTAGAGTAGACAGCTTCCAGCTATTGCAGCGTCACATGACAGTGTACATCTGGTGTAAACATTATTATCTGCTCTACTGTTAATGTAAATGAGTATTCCATTCATTCAGCTGAGTAAGAGGGTTTCAGACCAGCATTTATATTTAAATCAATAGTTCACCCAAAAATCAAAATGACCTCTTAATTTACTCACCGCCGGCCATTCTCTGTGTGTTTTTGTGTCAGATGCCCCTGTTTTTTTTTGTTTTTTTTTGGCAGATGAACACAGAGTACTTTTAAAATTTGATTATATGTTTTTCTCACTGTAGAACGATGTAGGATAGTGTTTTATTGTTAAGCTTGTTTGTCTGAATAACAGTTGAGAACCAGGTTAGTAACTGTACTGTAGTGTTAGTAACTGTACCGTGAACCAGATTTCTGGCGGCAGCTGCGATCGGACACTATTACAAAGTTGGCAACCCAGGGGTGTTATATACTGTACCAAAAAGTTGAGGACCGGGGGCGGGTGAAATAACGGGAGATTTCCAGTAGAAATAACAAACTAAGAGGGCGGCGGGAAATGCGTCTGAAATTTGGGAGACTCCCGGGAAAAATGGGAGTGTTGGCAGGTATGATTCATACACCACCAGGCAGTTAACTAATGTCTTAAAAATCGATGTATGTGTTGAACATAGGGTCATTCTGAAAACATAGCCCTATGTATAAATATATTTCTGGAGATTGCAAATTATGTAGCCCGAGCTACGTATGGCTGCATTTCATTTTTAAAATGAATGCTACAGGGCAGTATGATGCTGTTTCTTTTCATGCTTACCAGCTGTCTGCTTACATCCGTGTGGAAGGCTTTCCCACTGTTACCAGTTTGTCCAGCTAGCTCGCCATGTATATCAGCAGACTTGAAACGCAGAGAGGATTTGACAATGGGGTTAGAGTCCGGTGAAAAACGGTTCCAAAAAGTGGGTTAGACAAAAACAGAATTTGAAAAATAAAATAAACAAGTAAATAACAGGGTGAGAATGTGGTATAATCGGAAACATGGTAAAAAGTCTGTCGAGGGCTTTTCTTTTTCTGGATTGCTTTTGAAAATCGTCAGGTGGGTTTAGGGAAGTGGGTGGCCGGGTCAGTCTGTGCTTTTGAAAACATTATTGTTTGGGTTTAGCAGTGCAAATGGCACTCGTGAGAGAAATTTGAGATCTGAAAAGCAGCAGCAGCCTCCGGTGGATTCGTGAAAACAAAAACTGCAAAACAACGTAGCTCCTGGGACGTATTTGGCGCTCTCCAGAAATATATATAGAGGTACGTTTTCAGAATGAACCTGTGTTGGACATGTTTTTGTAAAAAATGATCAAAATAAAAAAACATTTATTACAAACTCCAATGACTGACTCCAGTGGCTGACAGCATGTTATGTGTAACTGATACAACACAAGATAGGTAGACACATGTATGTGGCATTGTATGAAAAATATATACTGTAAAATGTTATACAGTAATGCCAAACCAACTTGCTTTGTTGTTTGTTGTTGTTTTCTGTAGTGAACAAACCTGTGGTAAGTGGTTCCTGCGAGGTGCATCTATTTCTGTAGTTTTCCAATAAGAATGTGTCATATATAATATGTCATATGGAATTTGACCGTTGCCGATTTGAGTTTACAATTTAAAACTTTGACATATTTAAGTTACAAAAACACATAGATCTGCTTCATAGGAGTTAACACCCTGGTGGCGTATGGGTAAGTGTGACGATGAATTTATGAACATTTGGAAGTTTCAAAATAAAAAGCCACTATACAAAGCTGGGATAAAATTTTAAAGTTAAAAAGTCATATACACCACGGATGGCAGAAGGGTGGGTAAATTATGGTGTAATATTAACTTTGGTTTAAACTGTTTAACCTAGGCTCATTATGAAAACATACCGCTATATACATTTCTAGAGAAAGCCAAATACATTTTTTTGCAGTTTTTGTTTTCGCAAGTTTTCGTAAATATACCAGAGGATGCTATCAACTGACTAACTGACTTACTGAATGACTGACTGACTGATCTACTGACCCACCCTCCTCCTTCCCTGAACCCAACCAATGGAGCTTTCAAAAGCACCGATTGATCCGCCCACCCACTTCCCTAAACCCAACTGACATTTTTAAAAAGCAATCCAGAAAAAGAGAAGTGCTCACTTGTTTTTTACCACAATTTGATATGTCACCCTGTTATTCACTGGTTATTCCTCTCTGCATCTAAAGTCCACCAACGTACATGACGAGCTAACAAGACAAACTGGTAACAGCGGGAAAGCTGCCGATACTGAGGTAAGCGGTTAGCGCGGTAAGCGCGAAAAGGAACAATAGAATTTTAAAAAATGAAATGTAGTAGCCATAAGTACTTCTGGCTACATAATTCACGATCTCCAGAGATGTGTGTCAGGGGACGTTTTCAGAATGAGCCTATGTTGAAACTGTTCCTTTAAAAAGGGTTTCAAAGCAAACATTTGCTAATAAATACAGAATCAACTCGAATTCAAATTGAAGGCATATGAATAAGAATCCAATCAAATAGTCAAATTGGTCACAATACTCAGCCCAGGTAGAAATGTTGAGCTGTTCTTCAATGGTGTGTAACCAACACAAAGTACACAAACTGAACTTGGCAGTGTTGGAAAATGCTCTGGATAAGCATGAGGAAACCGTCTTGGCTTTCAGAACCCTGCTGCACCGTTATGTAAAGTGTCCCACGGTTTTCATCTGCAGATTCTATTATTAATTATTAAAATGTTTCCCCCACCCCCTCAGTCACACTCACACACTCACATTCACACACTATACTCTATTACAAGACCCCCCAGCTCCAGTTCCCTATGAAATCAATTAAGAATCAGCTCAGCTGCAGTCCAACACTTCTGCATCACACACACACATAGCTGTACACGCTGCTCATTATAAATTTGTCTCACATCCTTCCATTTTTATCACACAGCACTCATTATAAACTGGCATCAAATGCAGACGCACGTGTGATCTCGAGATAGCGGTGTAAAGCAGTCTCACACACACACACACAAACTAACACACACTGCAAGGCAGTGCCAAAAATCAGGCTCACTTTCACAGAGTCACACAAGATTTTTCTTTTTGTTTCACGTGAGAACATGCAAACGTTGTAATGTGTATACTGTATAAATAGATCTGGATTCAAAACAGGCATCATAAAATGAGTCTGTTTTAAAAAGTGACCTTCCTTTAGATGATTATCATGTCAACAAACCTTCAGAATGATGGGACAGGATGAGAAGATTGACGCAAGAGGCTCCAGCGCCGGAGCCAAAAATGGTGATTCTCTCCGGGTCTCCTCCGAAGTGCCCGATGTTCTCATTGAGCCAACGCAGGGCTTGAATCTGGTCCAGTAGCCCATAATTCCCTTTCGCAGACTGATCTCCTGAGCTTAGAAAACCTGTGGAGAGCGAGAGAGTCAGACCGGAGATAAGATAACAGACATGGTAGAACAAAGGTATAAAAAGAGCATGATCAATACATGTTGACCAAGATCAAGCACTCAGAGGCCGAGTAGAGCAAAGTGTGTTGCTACAATAAAAGAAGAGATGAACAAAACTACAGCTTTAATTAGACTTGTTTGTGTGGAACTTCCTGCTCCTACTTGGAATGATTTCTGTTAATGTGTACATAAGACTTGAATTTGTGATGAATAACATAATCTGATGGATGACCTACTGGATGCGCTGAGAATGATATCCCACAATGTAATATTATAATGAACTGAATGTCAAGTCTTTTCCCCAGAAGAGCAAAAATGTGTCTGAAATTGAGCCTGTTTACCAAAGAATAATGAAACAGTAGAATTTGTCAATGTATAATGCACAATGACAGTTAGTGTTTTTGAAAGAATCTTTTTAATTGAATGACTCATATAACATGTGAATGATTTAGTGAATGAATGAACATGAGCTACGCACATAAGCTACACCATGAGCAATACGTGACTCATGTCATGTTCATTTATTCATTACAGGAACGGCCTGTACAACTGTCATGTAAAGTTAAAATGTTATTGAATGCATAACAAAAATATATAATTAATCATTATTTGCCGCACAGTATACAACAAGTGCGATGTTCACATTTTTTTGACAGGATCTTTTAAGTGAATGATTCAGTGACTGGGTTAGATGGACATGACACTGAGTCATTGCTCTCCAGATTGTGTTGTAGCCTACAGATATGGTGAATGATAGAACGAGCGAATGTGTCAGAGCTGATTCAAAAAATTTAAACCAACTCACTGCTAGTTTACAAATCTAGTTATTATGAACAAGACTACTAACTCACTGGTAATGTAGCACATACAAATGGGTAACTGATCAACAGATTCAAATTATTCTATTGTAATATCATAAGTCTAATTATAATAAACATATATAAAGTCATAAGTAAACAAATGAACTGATTCAAAAGATTCAAAATCAACCCACTGGTAGAGCATGAATCTATTTATAATGAACGTGAACATGTCCCTGTTGATTTGAAGAATCAGAAATTTAACAAATGAACAGATTCAAAAGATTCCAAAAACACCATTGCTATTACAATGTATTTATAATAAACATAAGTCACTCAGTTGTGATGTAGACTGAAGTAGTGATTTAAATGAGCAAATGAATCAGAACTGATTCAAAAGACTTAAATCAAAACCTTCCTTGTTTATAAATCTATTTATGCAAAACTTCTCACTGGCAATATAGAATACAGGAACAGTTACTGAACAGATAAGCAAAAGAATCAAAATGGATTCAAAAGATTCAAATTACTCTATAGCTAGTTCATGAATAGATTTATAATAAACTAAAACAAGTTACAGTTGATGTAACCTACAGGAACTATTACTGAATAAATGAATGAATGAATCTGAACTGATTCAAAAGATTCAAATCACTCTATCGCTAGTTCATGAATCTATTTATAATTAACCAAAACAAGTTACTATGAATACATGAATGAATGAATCTGAATTAATTTAAATGATTCAAATCCCTCCACTGTTAATTTATAATTCTATTTATAATGGACCAAAACAATTCAGTTACTATTGATGTAGCCTGTAAAAACAATGAACTAATAAATAAACAAATGAGTACGAATTGATTCAAAAGATGCAAATCACCTCACTGCTAGTTCATAAATATATTTAGAATGAGCAAAACAACTCACTGACAATATAGTCTACATGAACAGTTACTGATCAAATGAGCAAAAGAATCAAAAGGGATTCAAAAGATTCAAATTACTCTATTGCGAGTTCATGAATAGATATATAATGAACCAAAACAAGTTACTATTGATGTAACCTACAGGAACTATTACTGAATAAATGAACAAATAAATCTGAATTGATTATAAAGATCCAAATCCCTTTATTGCTAGTTTATGATTCTATTCATAATGGACCCAAACAAGTCAGTTACTATTCAGTTGAGTGCTTGGTCAGTTTCTTAGCCTGTAAGAACAATGAACTAATAACTGAAAAAATTAATATGAATTGATTCAAAAGATTTAAATCACCTCACTGCTAGTTCATAAATCTATTTGGAATGAACAAAAACAAGTCACTTACCAATGATGTAGCCTATAGACTGAATAAAATGGAACAAGTGATTTAAATGTACAAATGAATCAGAACTTACTCAAAAAGATTTAGAAAAACCCTTTGATCATAAATATATTTATAATGAACCAAAACTATCAACATTAACATTTACAGAACAAATGAGCTAATGAATCAGAACTCTTTGCCAGTGTTGGGTTGCAACTGGTAGGGCATCTGCTGCGTAAAAAATATGCTGGATAAGGTGGCGGTTCATTCCGCTGTGGTGACCACAGATTAATAAAGAGACTAAGCCGAAAAGAAAATGAATGAATGAATGAATCAGAACTGATTCAAACAATCTAAATCCCCTTATTCTAAACCTATATAATATAAATCTATTTAAAATGAACATGAAGAGTCAACAGATCAAATTGTGAGTGAACAAATGAGCAAAATGACTTAAATAATTTGAATTAATCCATCCCTAGTTCATACATCCATTTCTAATAACTCAAAAACATATGTCTTCCATTACCGTGCTATGAAAGCTTCAACAGAACATATTTTCGCTCTGAACCTCAGGGGTGCTGGGTGGTTTGATGCATTAACAGTTATCACTGCTGGTGAGAGGAGCTTTATTATCATCTTGTCAAGCCTGTCTTTATGATGGCTCTAGCCGATTAGCCAGTTTAGACATTCAGACCATTGTTCTCTGGTTAAAAAAACTCCATCATACTCACATACACATATATACTTAAAAATAGGATGGCCGCATATAGTCCCATTATGGACCTCTACTGATAATACATGCTATAGTGCTCATTAAAATGGCCTGCATGAGGCTGTGGAGTCACGGTGTAAATGAGAACTAAAGAGCTTACGTAAGACCGCCTATTTTACTATTCCAACTGAACTGGAGATGCACTGAAAACATGGAAATGTGGGGAATTTCAAACATATTTCACACGTCTAAGAAAGCACTCTTCAGACTCTGAAAGATAGGCTTCCTCTGGAATATTCAAAGAAATGGGGAAAACACACAAGGGACAAAAATAGACCCGTACTTAAAAGCTCTGTGCCCTCGGACTCAATATAAGAGTCAGTATATTTGTCTGTGTGTGTGTGTGTGTGTATGTTTTAGCATGTCAAAGAAACAGAGGATGAGTAGAGGAAATTACAAACTCCTTTGTTGATTTCTGAATATTCAAATTAAATGGAATAAAAAGGAATGAACTCAATGTTGTAGCAACACTAGCAGACTCCCAACAACACACGGCTCATTTGACATTACATGCTATATTCCTTCAAAAAGAGCAGATTACACGTGAATTAAATGTGTGATGTGAAGAACAGCAGAACTTTTTTTCAAATAAAATCCCATTTGACCTCTTATAATATTAAATTTAATTTCCAATTTCCTATTGTGGGGATCCAGGCTTTTTGACATATTTGAAAAAAGTAAGACAATAGTTACTTTCCCTGGTAATTATCAATGTTGTACTAGTTCAGGGGTCACCAACCTTTTCGAAACAGAGAGCTACTACTTGGGTACAGATTAATGTGAAGGTTTACCAGTTTGATACACACTTCTCAAATAACAAACTTGCTCAATTTACTTTTAATTATATGTTATTGTTTTTAAATAATGATATTTATCTATGTGAAGAAACTAATCATGTTAATGAGTTCTCACAATAGTTGTCAACAATGATTTAACAGAGAAATATCAATACTATAGAAATATCAATAAATATGGAACACTTTTTTTTCATAAATCTTTGCAAGTTTACATAAAAAAAAACACTTCTACAATATTTTCATTAGCCATTAACAATTTTTAACAAATCCCGCACTACAATGTACCATGTTTGTCAATCAGTTGAGTAACAGAGTTTACTGAAATTATCACCAAATCTACAGCATTATAATATAGCCAACACTCTTCTAGCCATTGTAGTTGCCCCAAGTTGGACATTGGGGTTAATGGATATAATATTTGTTCTAGTCTTTAAGCACAGTTTTGCTTTCCTGTTTGAAAATGCTTGTTTTTTTCTAGTAAAAAATGTCTAGCTCTAATTGAGTCTTAAGTTGCTTTTTTTTTCTAACCGGTCTTGTGAAAAAAAGACACGCTGTCCGGAGGGTAGTTAGCATGGTAACGTTAGCTTGCGTGACACATTCTGAAATATCTCTCAACATTGTGCAGCTTTGCCTTCGCCAAATAAGGTAAAAAAGAACTCTTCCTCCTATTCACTGTGAAAATGATTTGTTTTTTTCTTTTTTTGCCATGTTTTAAAATCATCTCCTCCCCTTTACCGCACCCACAACCACTGCTGTGGAGACCAGCTTGCTCTAATATAATAATTTTATAAGCAACTTTGTCATTTTCAAATTTACATCAATGCAAGTGTAACTGAAAATGAATAACTACAAAACATATTAGATGCAGCTTACTGGTAAGTGGTGCTTTGGAGAGCTATGTTGGTGACCCCTGTGCTGGTTACTGAAAATTATAGTAACTCATTACAGTTACTTCATTCACAAAGTAACTCAATTACTTTATCGATTACTTGCACCAAAAAGTAATGCATTACTGTTAAAAGTCATTTGAGTTACTTTTCCAAAGAACATTTTAATGCTCCCCTTAATACCCTTATAGTGTCACTTAAGTGCTGCATGGAACATGCACTGTTGATCAGCTTCACTGTTTTAATTTATTGGCATCTCAAAGCTAAAACACAAGAAAAACTTAAACAAAAAGTCATTTTTAAATGCTAATTTATTTAAATCAGACCAGCAGCACAAAAAAATAAATCACAAGGTGATAAACCAGCTGAATAATATATTTAGGAACA